CGCGTTAGTAAAAAAAATTTGGCTGTTTCAGTGCCGTACGTTCTTAGCCTTGATGGTGAGAGCAGCTGCACTCTCTAAGGAGTGAGTGGTAAACATAACCTTTTGTGGAGCGACTAAATATTGCCGCAGCGCCGAGACACTGACCCAGACATCCCTTCGAACGGAAGCTCAAGCATTTAACGCTGACAAAAACTAAACAAATTTGATACATGCGCTGGCATTGAGTTACGCAATGACCCTTCGCCGTTAGAATGCAATCAAATTGTTCAAGACAAATCCACTACACAAGACGATGGTACTGTATTGTGAATGACAATCTGGACTTTTTTTTGGTTATCTATCTATAATATCTATACCACTAATCGTGGCTTTGAATGATACATGTTCATTGTTCAATTGCTCTGAATAATCATGATTGGACACCAGTCGTTTTAAAACATGAGGGCATAGAAAATAATAACCACCAACCCATTGGTGATAATTCGCTTCCCTTAAGAGGAACCTCAAGGGATAATGGGTTAAAATTGCGCGCTTTGGTCATGTCGCAAGAATTTCCACTGATCAGTTTCGAAACTCGAAGCCTAAGAGCAGGTTGAGAATTCTCAGTCAGTGCCGTACAAGGAGCACTGCTGCGTGCTACTGAAACGGACGACCAAAATTACTGGACAACCTCGACTGCCTGCAAGCGTTGGCCTGTAAGCCGGACACCTGTAACCACGCTATATTCGGAGTGAAGTGTTATTATCAACGATGGCCATGACGAAAGATGAATTTGTTACAATGAGCCTCTTTAAAAACCTAATTAAATCCCGGCGTTTCGTTCAAAAAGTCCTGAGGCTACTCGAACTTTTGCGAATTGGCGCAACAAGATCTAGGAATAATTGCAGAACGCTCAGTGCGTCCTTTCCTAAATCTCAATCATTAATTATAGCGTGATCGAGGCGAAACCAGTTAACTATTAAATTATTACATTTTTCAATAATCTTATTGACATTTTAGAGTTTTGTGTATACAACACAGCTTTCTCGGTCTAAAAGTTCATGCGAAGAACAGATTGCGTTCGAGGCGCCATCGATCAACATGACGTGCATGCACAAGACGGTCAAGTATGGTCTGAGCGTCTCAGTGACTCATACCACTCAACACATTGGTCGTGCGGGCTGAATTTGCAACAGCGCAACCTGATCGAGTAATAATATAAACTTTGTTCACCAGCAAACATTGTCCAAAGTTTTGTAAAACGAACGATGGCTTTGTTTAGTAGAATCAAATAACGCAATTTGCAGTGCTGGCGCCGCGCATGTTCTGCAGGGAAACTAAGAGTCATTACACGTTGGCCAGACATGGAGCTCCACCTCTTATATAGACACCGCCTCAAGTATCTCAACGATTTAGTATCGATTTAATTGTATCCGTGTGTGAGACATCATAAATCACTTAGCGATATTTTCCACAATAAATTGGCTTACGTAAGGGTCGCTAATTTTAGAATTTAGCGATTAAATCATTAGAATCAGAATTTGCAGATCAGCATTACATATTACTAATCTCATTGCCAGTAAAGTCCATTCAAACCAACTCCTACAAGTCATATGAAAATTATACTAGAAATATCTTCTGCCATTGAGCTTTACAAAATTATTAGACAAATGAACGATGCAACTAACGTAAATGCGCTTAATTGTTACATGGCTTGAAGGATACTACATTCGTGAGCATGAAAATAGAGTTTTTCAGATACGACAAGCTTCCGCCGGGTGTCGCAAGCCTGTCGCGGGCGAAGCCTAGACGTGCTACGACAGGCCATCGCACGAGACGATCCAGCTCTCAACTGTCGGATGTGGATAATATTTTCGTAGTTAATTTTAGGGTTTATAAAAACTAATATCGTGTACAATATACGTGAAATTATACATTTTAAATTTCATCAATATTGATGACGAATGTTGTAACCTCTGGAACGCTGCACTAACAAATGACGCATTAATTCGGACATGAAATTTTTACTCCACCAAACTAAAGTTCTAAATTGTGGCAACAAATTTTTTGAACAGAGGCAGTAAACACAAACTTTTCTCTAGTATCCTGCAGAGCGTGAATGAAGGAACAAATTCCCCCCCCCCCATTTCTCTAAGATAAGTTTATATTATCAAATGCATATTTTAGACGTCATCACACCAAAATCTTGCTATCCTTCTAATCGTTTGTCCCATTGAACAATTGGCCCCAAGTATCTGTAGAGAATATTAATCTCTGGATAAGAATCCAAGATCATTTCATTTGAATTTAGATACAAGCAAGAACAAAACACTTACTTTTAATCTTTAAAATTACATTAGCAAGGCAGGTCGTGAGCGCATTTTGCACCTCTTTTCGTATTCTGTATACTATTGTAAAATATATGAAGAGCAAATATCGTCACCATTTTGTTCTTAGTTTTCTATGCTAATGTGCAGTTATTTTCCTTCCATTTTCAAACTCTTTTAATATGTTTCCATTGAAAATCATTTCTAGTTTGTTTCCACACTCAAGTCGTATATAGTGAATATACATGGCATTAGAAATACACGTGGGTTATACGAGCTCGTATCCACAATACTCGCAGTACCGGTGATCGTCAAAATCTAAAAGTTAGTTCCTGATATAACTAAGTATTTGTATATAATAAAGGAATGTTTTATTCTTCTCAAATACTTCAGTTAATAATATTTGAATTTAGTCCAGTGAGAATATTTGTTATTGCATAACTAGACTAACAAATATATCCACTAATAAAACCTAATTGCAACCCAGATGGAGGAAGACGATAAATAAAGTAAGATAACAATCTAAAACCAAGTTAGATTGAATAAAAAGCAAAACTTTTCCCCCGCTTTGATTTCGCCGGTCACAGTGGGTGTAAAGTACAGCACTAAAAGCAATCACTGAGCGAAAGAAACGAGGTGTTTTTCAGACGTCCATGGACACCCACTTAGTAACAGTCGGCTAAATTTTACGTTTGGGGAAAGATAAAAATCTGGCCTCGAGTTCACGAGCTCGCCTGCCAAAATATTGCCTTAAAAGACCAGGAGTGTCAGGATAAAGGATGGTTTAGCGCAGTGCGGCCACTCAAAAAAGAAGCTCCCGCCCATACGGACGAAGAATAACGCGTCTCCGGGGAGACCATTGCTTCAGGCCAAGAAGTAGAGGATGAGTTGAAAGGTGCATCACCGTCGCGAAAAATGGAGGAACTTTTCTCGGCAAAGTGAAGTTCATTTCTCTGAATTTCTGTCCATAGAACAACTTTGTTGCAAAAACGCCCAACTATATACGAGCTCATGCAGCTTAGATTATATAAGAAAGAAATGTTTACTTTGGTGTAAAAAAAACAACGGCAATATTTGTCGAGATAAAAATCTCAATGGGATTATACATACGCACAAAAAAGGTTTACTTTAACAAAAATCACTGCGTGAAAAGAAAAAAAGCGAGGTCGCTGTCGTTTCGATTGACTTTGATGGCTTTGTTCGAATGAAGACGATCAATAATTAAAGCTCTCTAATAAGTTTGTTTTTCTGTTGATGGAAACGCCAACTGTGCTAAACTAAAACTTGGATGAAACCTAACCGATTTTAAAAGAAAACAAATAACTGAAGATATTTGCGACTCTTTCATACCATTTAAGTCAACATTTCTCTTCATTCTTAAATATATACCCAAAGAGAACGCAAGACACGAGATGAATTTACTTTTTATTTCCCTAAAAAAAGGGAGTGAAATAAATCAAAGTAACAACCACAGCAGTCAATTTATGCACCTATGGCTGTACAAATGAGCTTCATGTAGAGTAAATGTCTGCACAATTTCGTCAGTATTTTGAAAATAAATGTAGCGACACAACTGTAAAGACTCTATACAAAGAGCAATAAAAAGATATAGGCACTCGTGACTATATAGGCGAGGTAATCACGAAAGTGCTCCCAGCTTATTGTTGTACAGCAAAATTAAAATTATATAGATATTTCCAAATTGATAAAACTGCAAAGAATCTCGTATACGGCGTGAAAACAAAATTCTTCAATTATTTTACGTATCAACGGCCATAGACTTACGTGGTTTATGAATTCTGCTCGTCAATAAAAAATAAAACTGAAAATTATAAGGTATATTTCATCGAGTGTTAATTTTTAATTCATGCGTTTTTAATTTCGTTAAAACTTCATTTGGTCAAACATTTTCGGCACACGCATAACCCCAAATACGATCAGTTTATTACGCCTGCGATGAAAAAATTTGAACCCCGATTCAACTGATCGGAAAATTATTCTGCGCATCGAGCTGGAAAGCGTTGAAAAAACTTGCTGACCAGAGAGAGAAAAATTAATTATTGTAGAGCACAGGCAATGGAATTCCAGCGAAGATCACCACAGAACAAATTTTACGAAAATATTTAGATGCCGATACGACATCAAACAAATGGCATATGCATCCTGCCCAAAAAGTTATATTTTATCCGGTTGACTCTTGCAGTTTTATAACAAAATACTACAGCTAGCACTGCCGTGAGGGGTATTTGTACTCTAGAAAATACTTGACACTCGTATTTATTTTTGGCTTTCTTCATTTGGCGCTAAGATAAGTATTCTTGCAAGAGCTCTGCAAATACTGCCATACTTTTAAATGATTAAGAAGGTACACGTTGACCATCATTCTTTGTAATATTGGACTACTCACACTCTTGAATCACTTCTGATGCGAGCTTAACGATCTCCATATCTATAGTACCTATCAAATAGAGGTTAATGTTTAAAATTAACACCTGAAAGCAATAAGACTCGTACAAATTTTAAATACCATAATAAATATATGACATGACATATATCGCATTAAATAAATGCGTTCATTATTTCGCTAGGCAATGCAAATCGAGGGTTAAATAATTCGTCTATCTGAAATTTGTAAATTAATCCAAGTGATTTAAATATATTTTTTAACAGTTTTCTTAAGAGTTTCTTACTCACCGGTAGCGTCGCAAATGTGTAAAGCGTCGTATCGACTGCTGCCCAATCTTGTGTGTAGATCTCGGTGCTCCGTATCGTGGAGCACGTTTTTCCTTGCATTGAGGCGATCGCTGTCACTGGTATCGTTTAAAACCTCGTGCCCATTTCTCCACAACGTTCTAGCATGACTACCAGGAAAATCTTGGTCGTTTGTACTTCTTTTTTGTCTAAATTTTGAATTGCTGCTCAGAAGTCCCGAGCTTAGCCCAGCCTTCCGAAAAATATGTAATCTCGGAGGAGTTGCCACGGAGGACACACGATCTTCTCCGAATATAGAGTAGTCACCGTCAGGTAAGAATGTTTCTTCGCCTTCGTCGCCCACATCTTCTACTTTTTTCTCTTTGGACAGCTCGTCTTTTTCTTCTTTTGAAAGACTATCTAATCGCGCTAATCTCGACAATTTATTCCGAACCTCTTCTTCGACTGTGTAATCTTCTTCAGTGGATGCCTCTTTATCGGGAATTCTTGCAGGGTTGGAGTACCACTCATGTAAAGGACTGCTCGACGAGCGTGTGAGGAGTGTATTGCTGGATGCGCGTGACGCTTCAGCCGACCGCGGTCCAGAAGATTCATTGGTAGAGCTTCCATGAGAATTACTTGGATCGCGATCCTCAATTCTCGTTCCATCAGCGTCCAGCTCGATTGGCTCGAGGAAATAAATATCATCGCCCACTCTTATCACGCCACTCTGGAAAAAAGAAATAGGCATATTATTAATACGTCGAATGCATTTTTGGTATTACTCGGCATTAAACAAACCTAAATTTTTATAATCTTTATGAAACGTGAATAATCGCATTGACCATTACGTTTAGACTGTTAGCAAGTATTTGCAGCAATTATACTTTCAAATTATTCGACTAATTTACCCAAATTTAAAATACGAACATAACGAAATTTTCAAACTAATTTAATAATTTCTTCATTCACTCGTCAAGATTTACGGATGTTATCTTCTCACGAGGTTCAAACGTGGACTCCGCTTACTAGTGGAATTCCAAGAACGACTTCCGATCAAAAAGAAGGACAAATTGAAGTTGATCATCAATAGATGACCTTTATAATTAAAACTCTGGGTCCAGGAGACGCAGCAACAAGATTCATCACATGAGCATTCCATGGACCGTACTGTGCATTCCAAGCTAGCTGACATTCCTCGAATACTTGGAGGCTGCATGCAGGAATGTCCTCAATAATTAGAGAACATAAAGTGCCATCACATTGTGCGTTTGCTTTAGGACATTTTAAGTACATTACGAATGGATTTCCCTTTGAGAATTGAGCACAACTTAACCCTCTACCGCCGTATGTCACTCTCCGGGAACATAACTTTCAACTTAAATTAAACGTAAACTATTGAGTGAAGCAACCTGAGGACGTTTGTATGCTACAGAGAACATTTTAAAGTTGTCGTACGTGGCGGCAACCATCAGTGCAAGTCATTTTGCGCTCACTAGAAGGTATCCTTTTTCGAAAATAGGCTTCTGACAATAGTGCTCCGGTTACTCATGTCAGGCGGAAGAGGGTTCATTATACAAGCATATCGATACTCAGGCAATATTTTCATATTTTACACAAAATTCAGAACTCTACAATTGCAGTTTCTTTGTTGCACAACAATTCAGATGTATTTAGGCAGCATCTAAAAAAATCAAAGCAAAATGTTGTGGAACGAAAAATGCCACCAAATTCATTACCAAGCAATCATTGACGCGAACCTGTGTCTAGAATGTTGTTCAGTAAACTAAATTTAATCTTGCCAAGGGCACTCTATCTATGAACAAGCACCAGAAGCTCTGCTCCAGAACTCGCAACACCAGAAACCGCGGACACGTAGCAGAGAATGTGGACAACAAGAACTGAATAGTAGAATGCAAGGCCCCTACACTGCGGTAGCCATCGCAATCCATTAGGACGAGAGTCCTGACGATCATATCAGGGCTTTGCATTCTGCCCTGCAGCCCTCATATCAAGTTGGGCAACGGACACAGCGTATCAGCAGCGTATAGTATAGCTTCATGCAACATTATGTTTAAATGTAAGCCAGGATAATGCGGTTTTCAAATGGAAAATTATACTATTAAGGGTTTACAATATATTTATTAGCAAGCTATTTCATAGCGGAACTGTGGTATTTTTTAATGATTGTAAACCTCTTTATTTGCCAATAACAATAGGCAGTCTCTGGTACAGCCTTTTGCTGCTACGGGAGCGAACAACAAAACGACAGCGAGATTTACCATAATAATTTCATCATACCTCGCAGTCTAAACAGTTTCCCCGAATTTAATGAAATAAAATTTTCTTTTCAAATTCTCATCTATTCCGAAAACCTCGTCTCACAAATCAAGAATAACTATTAAAAGAGTTTACTGGCTTGTAAAGGCCAGTTTGTAACATCAATGTTAGTCACTATAAAATACATGAAAAATTACAAACATTCATAAATTCATGCAGTTCCTATAGCTCATTCATCACATGTTATCCTAAGTTTATTCAACACACGCGGCGGTTAGGAGTGTCCCCATAACATTAAATCCAGCCCAGAGGTGTGGACAAATCGACAGCGATGTCTTTGCACATCGAAGAAGTCGTTCTCCTGAAGAGCGCGACTCAAATGGGTCCTAAAGAGGATAAGCTTTGACTAAACATGGTACTCTTTACCAAAAGCCACAACAAGTATGCTGTAAAAACATGCTCTGACATCACAACTACATTCATGGGACATATAAAGAGTTCTTTGTACTCGGCCCTCTCGGTCGACTGGCATAAATGGCTTGATGGCAAACGTTTGTCGCAAGAGACACAGTATCCTGGAGCGATGCAATCCCAGTTTATCGGCCTTTCCAGACCATCATAAGCAGAGTCGCTCGGTGTAAACCATCGCGGCAGCTGCTGCCGGGAATTGCCGCTCTGAATAAATATTAGCTCCCAAGATTGAACCACTTAAATTGTCTACAAATTTTCCCCATCAAAAACTTCTATTCGTCGAGTATACTTCGAAGTATAAAAATTATCAAAGTTACACTCGATTAAATGCCATTTTTTGGTAAAGGAATTTTGAATAAAAGAAAAAAATGACAATGAATTCAATTATTATTACAATTTGTCCGAGTTCCACAGCAACAATCTCAAAAGTTACTGCTCGTAAATTCTGAATATCTCGATAAAAACTGTGCGGAATCAAAACCCTGCCAGACTACAGTCATAACAACCGTCTAATCTATTAAATTGCTGAAACCAAATGGCAAAAAGGTTCAAATTTGTAACGTTGCATTGCATTGCGAAAGTCCGCTATAATGTAGAACATTCTGTTTCATTTACATAATCTCAAGTGGGTCTACATATCATCTGGACTATCCAAGAATATCCTTTCTCTACACACACAGTCATAGTTAACCTCTCCGTCAACACAAAAGCAGTATAAAGCCAATCGCTATAGAAAGCGAAAGTAGTGGGGCTAACAGCAAGATGGAATGCAAATTGCAGCACGTCTTCTCCTTAGCGGGTAAAATGAGACGGCAACAGGCCAGTACGTCTCGCGTCCACGACCGCTCCACGCGAGAAACAACATTACGTTGGACTTGTTTTTCAGCACAAACCATGAGTCAATCGCGCGTGATGGGAATCGACAAGCAATAGCTTTCATATTCGAGTTTTGACGCAACAGCTGCGAAAGCCACTCAACAAGCGCACGCTCCTTGCGTTATCATTTGAAGAGATGCAAATGCTCTCAAACATGGTTTGAATTCCCTGGACCCCAGATGTACACACACTATGGAAACAGAAATACAAGGGCATAGAGCAATAACCTGGTCATAATTCAAAGCCATAGAACAAGGCCAAGAAATAAAGCTACAAATTTTCGTACGCGAAACGGAATTTCGTCAAGCTATATCACGTCATCATGATAATCTAATTCAGGCATTTCATATATGAGAATATATGAATGTTTTAAAACCGTTCAAGGTGTTTCTCATTATTTCAATTATTAGATGACGAATCAAATTTAAGCCAAAATTCAGAAAATTAATATTCATCTTCCCCTTCTAATTTAATCGTTTAATCAGTCAAAATTTCCTCAAAGAAGCACGCAATTTCCTCCTAAAAATAAGTCTTTTCAGAAAATTTGGTCCAGACAACGCTTGAATTTGGTCAAGAGTTGAATCTTGAATCTACGATAGTGATTGAGAGAGATTACCCGTTGAAGAAAAATAGTTTGTTGGTAAAGTTGTTGAAACAATTTTGTTGGGATAATAGTGCTGAAATTTAAGCACGTTGTAGACATATTACATTATAAAAAAGACCGCTGTAGCATCGCAAAGTTCCATGAGTGAGGGAAACCCGAGTTACTTGCGATGATTGAAATGCAAATTTATTCAAATTTCTGTACCTTTAAATTATGCAGCTAATGAGACTATCCCCTTGCGCATAATTTGCCGTCGCTTCATAACAAAAGGAAATTAAATTTGAGGATCGATAATATGCATCGTTACTACACTTTAAATAACCGATAATATAATAGCTTGGAAAATAAAAATTGTAGCATGCGGCCAATTCAAAGCAATTCATAAATGAACAGAAAATACGTCTAAACGAAAATGTAAGCACGATCCATGGATGCAAGACAATGAATATGATTTTAAATTTTACCATATTCCGTTAATGTTGATTTACATGCAAATTAATCCATGTATTAGCAGTGAAGAGAGTATTTATGTGCGGGAATAAAGCAAATTGGACAATTTATAACTACCCGTCTTTCATATGCGAGTAATTAGTTTCTTATGAGATATATCACGAATTTGAGAAAATTTCCAAAATGCATTGGTTATAAGGCAGGTAAGCAAATAAACTGCAAAATAGATAGAAATGATCGCGATGTCAATCTTGTACGAAAAGAAGTAGTAAGAAAAAAAGTAGTACTTAATTGACGAGCTATGTATATTTTTATTAATCCACACAATGATTAAATACGTATATGACGAATATGTGAATCCCTTCTTTCAATGATTAGTTCAAGGAGCAGAAAGCTACATTTTTAGAAAAATGAACAATTGCCGCAAAATAAAGTATGGAAATATGGAAAAACTGAGTGATTTGATCAATGTCGCTGACAGTTTTTCAATGGCATAAAATTTAAACAAATGATTGCAAATAACTTAAAATGAGACTAACTAAAAGAAACCTTGAGCATCCCCGCAATAATTCAGTAACTTTGAGCTCAATTGACGAAAACTATATTTGAATCTGATAGTGGAAGAAACGAGAATTTTTTTGCATTCAACAGCCCCTTGCGTGGATAACAATGCAGACGGATCAATGAAACCTCAAGACTTGCTATTTCTGGGCAAGAACGCAATTTCTGACGTGGATTCTTACATTTCTATGGAGAATATGTGCCTCCCATGGGAAATTATTCGAGCTGGCCATGTTGCAGATGAGGAGAATGTACAAGGATGAAGGATAACAGATATGACATGACAAGCAATTGAGCAAACACAGGGATAAGAAGAACAGCAGACGGGTCTGAACATGTAAATGTTTATTGATAGCAACCGTTTTTAAAGAAAGCCCTTTTCCAATAGAATTTTCCTCGTAACACAATTCGAGATGATATTAGAACAAAAAATATTAACCTCTTTATGAGAGGTTAGGGTACTGTAAAAGGGAGAAACTTCAATATAT